ATTACCATTTTTGACTTAACCCTTAGATGAATGTACTCTAGTATATGCTATCTTATTGATTCAGAAGCATGTAGAGAAGGAGGAAAGTAAGATAATGAATGTAGTTGAATAGAATACTTTACTGTCAGATGGAGATAACTCTTCTTTCTTCTCCCCCAACCCCCTCCCTCCCCCATCTCATGCTGTCTATACAAATTTTGCATCTTTTTTTTGACTATTTTGTCATGCCAAATTGGTGAAAATACTGGTCGATCAGATCATTGCATTAATTATACCATATTCATAAGGATCACCATGCCTTTAATGTTAGAAAAAATACCCATTTGAGCTAATGCTTATCATTTGGAAAGAACCAAATGTTCTATTATAGCCGATTGAGAAATATACCAATGTAAGGTAGTTTTATTCGGCAAATGTAAATGGTATTCTTGTTCTTATCACGTGTCGTACATTTGAACATTCTACACGCAGCAAAACCAATGTTTTACATACTTACCATTATATATAATACAAATGAAGAATGGCTAGCCGCTATATGTTTCTCATTAAAATTGTTATCGACAACCCCTCCATCGACATTCTGTAGTTAAAGAATCGCTATGCTTTGGGCTGTCTACACTAAACTTCAATCTAAGCAGCTCCTCCAGATGATTGCAACTGGAAACTATGAGTGTCTTGAGAATAGAACTACCGTTACCTTAAAGAACCCAATGGGTTTATTGAAGACAAACCTCCTTTTGCAATGTTATATCAAAGACGTACACTACATAGAAGCATATTCTATTCTCTTAATGGCATCAATGAGATTAATCAAACTCTTGCACATCTGTCAACACAACAGTCTCATAAAACTCAACAGATATCTCACTTCTACATATATATTTATTTATTTATTTGTGTATGGATATGTGGCATATTAGAGTCCACAACTTATCCTTTTTGAAGATCATCGAGTTTACAAATTTCACTTACAACTTGACTATTTAACTGGAGTCCAGGTAATAAAAATAAGTGTCAGCCGACAAGATTATCCAACGAATAGCGGCTAACTAAATATACAAACCATTACCAACATTGGTTTATCTTTACATTTAAGTACACCCATGGGGTCTATTGGTAAGAGTTATAGATAAAATATATGATCTCAACCTTAACTGCTCTATGTCAGTATTTAAATCTTTAATCGAAGTATAGTCTTTTGACACCGTTGGGGAGAGGCGGGGGGAGGGCGAGAGCTCTAAAGCGATTCAATAAATACAAACGGGAATTGGACAAGGTTTTCAGGAATATTCTCCATACTTCATACACAAAAATTCAACAAGATGTGTATATTCCTATAAGAAACTTTGGTGTTTTCAAAAACCTTTTTGATTCTTACATCTAACCAGTCGCCTGTTTCTAATTGTTTCTAACATTTTTGGCTATATTGTTCATCTCGAAATCGCCGTCCGGGTAAACCAATAGATATTTGTACTAAAAATTTTTCTTTTACCTCATCGCTGCCAAATTTTCATTTTAAATCAATTTGTAATAGTATAGTATAATGAAGGTTGATGTACTAGAGATGAGATATACAATTCTACTTTTAAAAGCTGTATTTGTCTATTTAGGTTCATACCTATTGTTGTTGTTATAGTTTTATAAATTTACTAATCGCTTTAGCATAGATATACCTACACGAATTGAATAACAATGAGCAGTGCTGAAATGAAACCAAATGAAGTTCAAGAAGATACCGTTATAGAGGAGGTTGATGTTGAGATGGAGAGTACTGTTGACGAAGATAAGATAAAGATTTTACCACAAGCTACTTCTGAAGACGGTACATGTGCTTCTTTCCAAATAATGGATGAAGATCATACTTTGGGTAATGCTTTACGTTATATTATTATGAAAAATCCAGAAGTTGAATTCTGCGGTTACTCAATTCCACATCCTTCTGAAAACTTATTGAATTTAAGAATACAAACTTACGGTTCCACTACTGCGGTAGAAGCTTTACAAAAAGGTTTAGGTGACTTAATGGATATGTGTGATGTAGTAGAAGAAAAGTTCACACAACGCATTAAAGAATTATAAATTACCCAATTCTAACTATTGAGCTAACGGATTCCCGCCTAATCCAACTCCCCCCAGCTACCAGTTTCAAAATATATAGAAAGAATTGAAATGAAAACAAAAAAAATTATTATCACAAAAGTATTATTACTTCTCATTCAACAAGAACATAGTAAAGCTTAGAGGAACACACTCCTCTTCTCTTTCTAATTTCATCAATATCAATTGTATTTTAGCCCAATTATTTTCCAAAGATTATTAGTCCTATATAGATATTTTGTTATTATGTTGTCTTCCAAATATATATACATCATTATTTAACATTTACATAAACTAATAAGCAATGCATTTGGCATATTTCATCATTTATAAGTTACCTCATCTCATCTTTAAAAACAAAACTTCTTGTTCATTGATAGAAAGAGACGCCTAAGACCATTTAATGAAATTTTAACAAGGCTGGTTAGAAATTTCAATTAAATTTCTTTTTTTTCTTTCTCCGACTGCGGCATTCTCTGAGAAAAAGTGAAAAAATTTTCATCTCATCTCATCTCATCTCGAAATTTAGCAAAGTTTCTAACAATAACTCAAAGTAATAACAACATATATAAAGGAAGATATATATCTACATTGTTCCTTTACTCGTTTCATACACTTTATTTTAAAGATTTTTTTACTCTTGATTATATTCGTCTTCGATTTGGTTGCAGGTTCACTTAATCAGTAAGCATCGAATTACCAAGAGTATTATAAATTTAGTTTAAAATGGGTTACGGTAGAGACCAACAATACAACAAGTCTAACTTTAACAGTCGTGGTGGTGACTTCCGTGGTGATAGATCCTCTGACAGAAACTCTTACAACAGAGACAGAAATGACAACTTCGGTCAACGTGGTGGTAACCAAGGTGGAAGATCATTCAACCAACCACAAGAATTGATTAAGCCAAACTGGGAAGAAGAACTACCAAACTTACCAGTATTTGAAAAGAACTTCTACCAAGAAGCTGAATCTGTTAAAGCTAGATCTGATCAAGAAATTAACGAATTCAGAAGAGAACATGAAATGACCATTACAGGTCATGATATTCCAAAACCTATCACTTCCTTTGATGAAGCTGGTTTCCCAGATTATGTATTAGAAGAAGTTAAAGCTGAAGGTTTTGAAAAACCAACTGGTATCCAATGTCAAGGTTGGCCAATGGCTTTATCTGGTAGAGATATGATTGGTGTTGCTGCTACTGGTTCTGGTAAAACTTTGTCTTACTGTTTGCCAGGTATCGTTCACATCAACGCTCAACCATTGTTATCTCCAGGTGATGGTCCAATTGTTTTGGTTTTAGCCCCAACTAGAGAATTGGCTGTCCAAATTCAGAAGGAATGTTCCAAGTTTGGTAGTTCTTCAAGAATCAGAAACTCTTGTGTCTACGGTGGTGTTCCTCGTGGTCAACAAATTAGAGAATTATCTCGTGGTGCTGAAATCGTCATTGCTACCCCAGGTAGATTGATCGATATGTTGGAAATTGGTAAGACTAACTTGAAAAGAGTTACTTACTTGGTTTTAGATGAAGCTGACAGAATGTTAGATATGGGTTTCGAACCACAAATCAGAAAGATTGTTGACCAAATTAGACCAGATAGACAAACTTTAATGTGGTCTGCTACTTGGCCAAAGGAAGTCAAGCAATTGGCTCATGATTACTTGAACGATCCAATTCAAGTTCAAATCGGTTCTTTAGAATTATCTGCTTCCCATAACATCACTCAATTAGTAGAAGTCGTCTCGGACTTTGAAAAGAGAGATCGTTTGTTGAAACATTTGGAAACTGCTTCTGAAGATAAAGATTCTAAGATTTTGGTATTTGCTTCTACCAAGAGAACTTGTGATGAAGTTACCAAATACTTAAGAGAAGATGGCTGGCCAGCTTTGGCTATCCATGGTGATAAAGACCAAAGAGAACGTGACTGGGTCTTACAAGAATTCAGAGAAGGTAGATCTCCTATCATGGTTGCAACTGATGTTGCTGCTAGAGGTATTGGTATGTATACTAACTTTTTTTTTCAATTTTGCATTTTTTTTACTACTAATTAATTAGAAACAGCGAGCATAAACGGTACATTAACGCAAAGTATTCGATGAAGTTTTGGATTTTTTTTCTTAATCGATACTAGATACACAGTGGTTTTAGAAATTAGTTCTGCTTAGATATTGACTTTAGTATTATGGCACAAAATTTATAATATTGGCATCTCAATATGGTAACTACAATAAGTTAAGGTTCTGATGTCGCTTTTAGATATAGCCGATATTCTGTCACATCAAATGTGACAGAATATTAGTAAAGCGAATCCAGACCCAACATTATTATCCTTAAACAGTATAGTGTAATATTTACACTATTCGATTGAAAGATTAAGGGACCTTTAAAATAAAGAGTGATTTCTTTTTTGATGAGGGGATGGCATTTGTAGTTCAGGTTGTTGGCTAAAATTGTCTGTGCCTTACAAAATATTTTAGACTCAACCTTCTTT